AGGGGGTTGAAATTAACTAGTTCTTGAATGGCAGGCTGGAGAGAAGACTTGTCAAAATGGTTGTCTACTTCAACAACTACGGTAACAAGTTGGAAGGAAAAAATATGAGTTTAAAAAGTCAATTGATATTAATGTATTAGTCTTCACTATTCAATGTATATTAAAATAGATAGTGACTTCGGGTTGTGGTGGAGTGGTGGATATTCGTTCATCCTTAACTAGATGTTATATATTCGATGTCTTCCCTATGGTGGCTCGGGTCATAGTCATGCTTGAAATGAAGTTTGTGTGGTAGACTTAGTTAAAAAATAAAATTGTGCATTTGCTATAAACTATAGATTTTGATATGATGGTAAGAACTTAAATCTTAGATTCGAGAGTTGGATATAGAGTCGTCCTTGGTTTGAAGCGCTTTGAAACTTTATTGATGTGAATCTAAATTAGTCGAGCTCTATAGCTGATAACTGACACTAAGTGAGAAACCAAAAAAATAAATATATAGAGACTAAAGGTTATGGCAGGATGATGATTACTCCTCCATCTTTAACTAAATATTTCGGGTTTCACAGTCTGACAAAAAAGATTAATATAGACTAGGGTAGTGAGCATTCCTCTATCATATACCACATGTCGTTCAAGTTTTGAATATATAATTAGTTTTGATAGGGATCACTCTACCTTCTAAATTGAACTTTCCGATATGATTTCAAAGTAATCTGACCTGAAAGCGAATACCCTAAAAAAAAGAAGGAAATGGTCAAAACTCACAAGTATGGTTAAGATTGACTGGGTCTAAGTCTAACAGGGCCGGGGTTTATACGTCAAGAGAATTTTGAGTACCAAAGAGAATGTTCTCATCTGAAAGGCTGTTTTGGCTTACATATTAATCATGGAGAAATTATAACACTAGAATTGTCTAAGTAACAAATAAATATGAAAAACTAATACTTGGATACAATTTTAAATGGACTGAACATCTGGAGCTTGAACAATATAAGACACGACCTAACATCAGAAACAATAGATTGAAATGAGTCTTACTCTGATACCATAGTACAAGTCCAGTCTCAAACACACCAAATACTAAATCAATACTTCAATTCAATTTTTACAAATCAACATATACACAACATCACATACTCGATAATTTGAACCTTCATAAACTTATTTCGATTTAAGATATACGTCCTACTATAAAGAAAAAGTGCATTAAGGCTTTAGCACTTCGTAACATCCATGTAGCAATCTGAATAGCTACATGGAATGATATATAGAAGCAACCTTAATGAGTATAGCCAAGGATGATCTGCCTATTCTAGAAACCAAATCGCGGTAGGAACAGAGTCCATACACCTCAATTTGGTTGTAGTAAGGGTAAAACGTTATCAAATTTTGAGGTTTCTGCAGCAGTAGCTATCAACTGCTGCTGCAGAACCCCACTTACTGGCCATGAGAATGTCATGGCCAGTATTCGTTGTATCAAGAAACGCCTCAATAGAGGACATATTGTTAGTTGTTTCCTTTGTTGAGTTAAAATTGAATACATCAGACTGCAAAACTTCAGAATTTTGTGATATAGTGTGATGACATTTCTTGTTGCTAGTCTTGGTTGTACCGTTTGCATCATCATTGATACTTCCATTCGTCTTCCTCGTGTTCAAGAAGCGGCCCCCACCTCCCCTAGGTCTACTCTTGGCATGGAGATGGCGCGAGAGGTGCAAGAATGGCTGTAACCATTAAACCAATACAAAAATTAAGCAACCAAAGTGAGAACATGAAAGGAAATTTGGGTCCGAGTAAAAAAAAGAAGCTAGCTGGAAGTAATCTCTTCGTCTCAATTAACTATCATTCATTTCTAAAGAGAGTGCTAAAATTTATGCACTTAATAGGGATAGAGAGCACATTGCTAACATGAAAACGCCAGTTGTTACCATAGTAACTACATGAATCAAAGTCATCTATAACTATTTAGTCAAAAGAAGAATTTTACCTTACGCGGTTTAAGTAAGTTCTTCTCCATTTCCTTTGCGCGGAATTTTCTACGCCTAAGTATCCCATGATATTGCTTGGCATTGACAAATATTGGGCTTTCATCATGGGAGGTCAAATTCAATGGTAGCATAATCCGGCCCTTCAAAATTTTGAGAATACAAAGTCCATTATTAGTTGCTGATAGTTCAGATAGAAAACTCGCATATCAAAAAAATAGGGATACTTGAGGTGTGATAGTATGAAAAGCTTTTTATATCAACGATGTATATAATTTTAATCTAGAAAACTTTACCAGGGATTGACCAAATAAACCTAGATCAAAGTGGCCTTGATAGTCCATATTATATGATTGCATAGAAACACCTGATTCATGAGAGTCTGCATAGATATTAATAGGAGTTTAATGGAAGTTTCATACAAAAGCATAACTCCAATTTTGTTAATTATAAATCAATATAGAAGTATCCTTAGTATAAACATATGAAGGAAAGGTGAAATTGGTAAAAAATAGTGAGCTGATGATCTCTCAGAAACAACCTCTCTACCGTCTAACCTACTAAAGGAGTATGATATGCATACATTCTACGTTCCTTCCAGTGAAATTACAACAATTTCCTTCAAATCTCTTGTTGATCTTCCTTTTGTGTGTTGGGCTAAGACAATTTAAAGATATTCTCAACAATGATATGTGTGATACCATCCGTTTTGAGACAATTTCACATGGTTTAGTTTTCCTCAAAAAGTTTTTTTGTAGTTTCACATGACCAATAAAAGTATCTTTATACTTTATATTATGTTTCTTTTCGACTATCAGAGATTTTGTTCGTTCACGCAACAATTTCCCTTTTGAACTAAATTCCACAATATGGGCCATCGTCAATCCCTCAAACTAAATTCTACATGACTCATCACTCAAAACAATTAGGACAATTATTAATTAGTGAGACGGTTAATTATTTCAAATTATAAAGTGAATTAGTAGTTATGGTAGAATATTTGTGTAATTCGAATAGTTTTTCCTTATTTTATATACAGTATGTGCCTAAGCCCATGGTGAAGCAAGATTAAAATTAGAAATAGAAGTTTATTGTAATTTATTTAATTATAATCAAAAACACATATTTTATATTATATATCTTTTATTATTTAATTTCAACATGTACTATAACTCAGAATTGTTCTCTATAAATAACCTAAATTAACTAAAAAAGATAAAGAGAATATTACCAGAGGACATAGGCTGCTCCATAGATAATATTATTCTAAAATAAATTCCTGGAATCCAACAACAAACAATAATTGGACATCAAATTAAATAAGGACAATTTTTCACACTTAACTTCACCAACCAAATTATACAAAAAATAAAAAAAATGAATTGAACTTCTTAAACAGTGGTACTTAAACAACATAGAATGAATTAAGATTGGTAATCAATTGAATATCCTTTGCCAGAAAATCATATTATGTATACAGAAAATTGAATTGTGTATACAAATCGAAAATTACACTATACATAAAATCTTGAACGTCTTTTAATGAAATTTTTGTCTACGCCATCACTGGTAGTAGCTCTTCTAGCCACAGTTATAAATCTTAATGTCTTACATATCTAACTCTACATTATTATAAATAGTAAGGGAAGGCAAGATAAATTAGAAGAAAAAAAAGGAACATATAAATGAAATTCAACTAAAATTAAAATTACTAGTCACTCACTACATAAAAATACCAAGAGTATGAACATAGCTAAGATCATTAATCACGTATGGATCACACAAAGTTAGTAGATATAAAAAAAAATTAATACTAAAAGCAAATTAAACAAGAGCTCTACTAAATATAAAATTTGAAGTATATATTTTATTTTATTTTATTTTTGAAAAAAAAACTAAAGAAGTTAGCTGAAGAAGAGAAGAGTGACGTACTCACAAAGAGAGAGGAAAGAAATGGCAAATAGATAGAAGTATCCTATGAAATATAGCCTAATTAAAGGCTATATATATCATAAGGAAAAAAAAAGGAAAATGTTTATCTTTTATTTTATTTCCTAATAAATCTTTGTCCAATTGGTCCCTAGCCATGTATGTATGTGCACTTTGATCATGTTATTCATATGCTTTTATGAATACCTATGTTATTAGGTGTAACATATAGTTTTGTGCTATTTAGATTTGTGGTAGAGTCATCATATAATTATAATTCAATAATTTTGATTCAAACTTTATACTTTAGCTATTTAGTTGGTTAATTGAAGGGCGCGTAAGGGTACTTTTGAATTAAAAATATAACGTTAAGGAGGATACGATTAATCTATTTTATTTGCATTTTATATTCTTACCTTTATGATGAACATTGTTTGATATTCTCAATGTTAACTATAATCTTGTAGTATAAGTATTTGAGTTAATTATATGTTTCGAG